AACTAATTAGTTATGTATAACTACAATTCAAATTTCTGATCTATAAAAAGAGACATTACCTTTTTGAACGTACAGAATAGCCCTGAAGTTAGGCATAAGCCTAATCTTTTGCGCATATTATATCCACCTTACAAAAATACCTACATCTTTTACAGTTTGTGAGTGCCAAGGTTTTGTTATGCCATTTAATTTTCCTTAATTTTTATCTTTGAAGCGTCTCTTATCTAGATTTGACTGCCATGGTTTTTTCAGGCTATACTCTAGTTTTCGAACCTATCTCCTTTATCTACTTACACACATTTCATCTTACGGGCTACATAATTTTTGTCTCATCGACTATATATAATATATATTCATTAGAGGGTAATTTATATAAATGTCATCTTATTATTTTCTCTAGTTTTCTTCGTAAAAATATTTTTCCCAAGACAATTGTTACCACTTCAATCAAAAAGTCTTTAAACGAAAAATTTCAATATTTTGTCTACTATAATACGATTGTCATTGTCTTTTATTTCTAACAAAAATTTAGTGGAAAACTCCACGCCTATATTCTTGCATCTTTCAAACTTTGCACTTTGATTATGTCTTCATGATTTAGACATGTCGTTTCATTCGCTTGTGTCGTGCTCAAGAGCATCTGCACCTCTGCCTCCAACTGCTTCGCGTGCCAACCGGTCTCTTATGCACTCTCCCTATCTCTCCAATGCTTCGCTCCACATCTGTTTCTCGTGAGCCCCTTTCTAGTCAATCCACACCACCCACTAGCATCGAGATAGACGCTGGATCGAGCCTTATTAGTCTTCTTCAGCCACCTAGTCTCTTAGATTCGTTTCATCGTTCCTCAAGGCTGACTAGCTTCTTGCACCAACCGGAGGTCGAATTGGTCATTGGTTTGTTCGCCATCTGCATGCGGCGCGTCAAGTGAGTGAGGTCTGGAAAGCCTTTAGAAATATGTTTTTTCTGCAAATTTACCTTTTTGTCGCCTAAACTTGTGGTGTCCGTTGTCATTTTACTTTTTTAAAAGCCACAATAGAGCGTCACTTTTATATGGATCTAATTTCCTCTGTTCCGTATTTCGTTTCCTTATTACTATGTTTATATACCTTCCGTTAGTCAAATCTTCTCGTAAGTTTCAATGGAGTCCTCGTATGA